GGGGGGTGTTTGGACTCGTCAATGTCTTACCATCGCTGTGAATGATGAGGTGGTACTGAGGGTTCGTGTGGAAAGAGTTGTGGCACTCCAGCCAGCCGCCCGCGTTCACACCGCTCTGCCAGCGCCCCTTGATCTGCAGCTGGTACTCTGAAAGCATGGTGAAACGGCGAAATCGTGAAATGGTGAATAGGTGAAATGGTGAAATGGTATGGATTTAAAGCCCTTATCAATACTATTAGGTTTATGAGAGGCGGGACCTCCGAGTTTTAACGTCCATCCCCGAGAGGACCGAGCCAGATGGGAAATTCGTCTGAAGTGCCTTCCCCAAGAACACAACATCCACCGAGCTGAGGCTCGAACCCCAAATCTGCAATCTCACGGAAAGCATGGAGGGAAGTCGGTGGTTACATTACGGCTATCAACGTCAGTCACTTGCTGACCAGACTACAGAGGGAAGGTGAGAGTACAATTTAACCATATATGTCTTTGGGCATCATAACGATCATAAAAAGAAAGGACACATCATCAGAGTCTCCCCATACATCACATGATTAGGAATTGCAGTTATATACTGATAAAAGACTTTGCTTTATGGCGAAAAGATTAGGTTAATCTCCCTGTCTGTTTGTTTATGGATAGTGGTGCTGAGCCTGATAATTTGATGTCAATGCATATTCTTAAAAAACCCAGTGTAGGGGGTGTTTCCGACGTAAAAAGCTTGCACCCCTCTTTCTATTTTTATTTACTACCGTCTTTATACAAAAGCAAAGAAATCAATATTTGCTATTGTTTTTTACCTTTTCGCTATCAGATATCAAGCTCACCCACCTCTTTATTGAAATACTTTGGGGTAACTGCTTTCTTCCTACTATCATAGTGAAGCGTACGATAAACTATTAAACAAGGTGTAGTGATATCTTCGACTTCCTTTGGTGACTCTTCGGTCCAGAGGTAAAAGTTTCCCTCTGAGGTAACACAAATTGGTTCGATCCTGATCTCAAGGTGAGGTCTATAAACATAACTGGGTCCTCCCTCAATTTGCCACATCCCCAAACGGAGAAAAAGTGGAATCAAGTAGTCATATCGAGTGTCCTTCTAGACCGTTTCCATGTAACTCTTTCCCCGATGTATTTTCCAAACTTAATACATATAATCAATGTGGCTACTCGTAACTCATCTATATGACTCTCCTTCCACTCATAATTCCTTTTACGAACAAAAGATTTTAAGGGAATGCATACACGAAGAACAATATTACAAGAATAGGTAGGCCAATTATTCTATGAAACCATTCTTCGTTTGTAAACTCTATTCTTTCGATACATAAGAAACTTAAACTTGACTTCAACACCCGCAACAATGGACCAGAAAGACATTGACAAACATAGCAATGAAATATGCATAGCCCGAGGCTATACGCTGATTAAGCTGACGATCAATAGTTATTTCCAGACTGACTATTCTGTAATGTAGGGGAATAATGGAAATGTATCAGCTCTGGACTTAATGATGCTGCAATAACTGTAGAATTTCCCCGTTGTTTGCTATTGATGGGGTTGACATGATGCAGCGTGGTTTAGTTGATGAGAAATAGAAATTTTTCTGTGTTGACCCTCTTTTTTTCTTAGACCCGTGTTGTTTTGCTTGTATCAGATTACTTTATATAATCCACCCCTTCTCCACCCCCCCCAAAAAAAAAAAAACAAACAACAAAAAACCCCCCAACAACAAACATAAACATCTCGCTACAAAAAATACACACACATGAAATCCAAATTACTATCCCAAAATACACAAACATAAAATCTAAATTACTAACCCAATTCTTGACATGTTCAGTTGAAATTGACAGTAGTCTGTTCTCTTTGTGTTATAAGGAAATGATACATGATGCAATCGGGGTAAACATTCTTTTTTTTGGAGTTGGGGGGGGGGGGTGTTAGTTTAGTTTTAGTAAGAGTTTTACGGCACTTGCTACACATTAAGGTCATATAAGTGCCGAAGATTAGAGGTGTTACAAGAGAGTAACAAACACAAAAAGAAGGAGGAGAGATAAGGACGATAGATGTTCGATAGGAAAGAAGAAGCAAACCACACCAGAGCACCCGCCAACCACCCATGGGGGTGTTATCTTCAAAATTCAGCAAGAAAAAGAATCATCTGCGATTGCCTTTGTTAGTTTTGATGCGCGGGTTCATTCCTTATTTTTTAAATTTTAAAATAGAGGTAAACAAATCTTTCCTCAGCTTGAACATTTTCATTGCCTTTCAAATTATTTCTGAAGTGATTTTCCGACTTCTTGTGGGTCCCCTTCCCCACCCTCACCCTACCCCCAGTCAGCATGAAGCATTTTTTCCTTAACTTTGCGTTTGAATTATGGACTAAATGCCAGTCGATAAAATCGTCATTGCTACTGGTAAAGTAATTTCAACTGTGGAGGAGGAAAGTTGTCGATGGGTAGGCGGAAGAGAAGGAAGGGGTTTGGGGGGGGGGGTCTGTTTGGTGGTATTGTGAGTACAAGAGTGGACAAGTGTGCATGTCACTCCCAGGGATGACAGCTAATCTTCCTCGTTCACTTCCAGTGGTAATTTCATTTGCGTCAGCCGCCGTGGTAAGAGCGAAGTTAGAGAGAGAGAGAGAGAGAGAGAGAGAGAGAGAGAGAGAGAGAGAGAGAGAGAGAGAGAGAGAGAAAGTGGTGGGGAGGAGGGGGTGGTGGTGGTACATGTGCATACGTGTGCGCGCAAGTCTCTCTCTCTCTATCTATCTCTCTGTTTCTCTCTCTCTCTCTCCGTTTGTCTCTCTCTCTCTCCGTTTGTCTCTCTCTCTCTATCTATCTCTCTCTCCGTTTCTCTCTCTCTCTCTCTCTCTCTCTCTCTTGTGAGTGTGTGTACATGAGTATATGTGTACGTAAGTGGGCATGTGTAAGTGTACATTTCTCTGTGTTTGTACGTGTGCAAGTGTGTATGAGAGTGTGCATGTGTGTAAGAGTGTGTGAGGATGTCTGTGTGTGTGTCTGTCGGTCTGTTTGTGTGCGTGCGTGTGTGTGTGTGTGTCTGTCTGTCTGTCTGCCTGTGTCTGTGTGTGTGTGTGTGTCTGTCTGTAAATGCCACGGCAGCGTTAGTATTTGTGACTCTTTCTCTGATGTATGTGTTAATCCTTTTAACAACTACACGTATGTCCTATTTTACCTCTTGACCTAATCCAATTTATTACACTTTATTTCTCCAGACTCCATCTCCATTTTCCGGTTT